GCGGATGAGTTCACGCAGGGGCATGGCCTCGATGCGGCGTCTACTCTCGTTGTACCGCTCGTTTCCCGAGCGGTGTGGTCTATCATAGTAGGAGTGGGAGGGCTGAAATAGAGGTTGCTGGTCCAGTGGACATGTGTTGGCGTTTTCTCCGCCGTCGCTGAACCAGGTTAGCATGCAGGTGTTGCCTACTATGTGGCCTGCTTCGCAGGGGAGGCGGACGGGGTGGTCTTCAAGCACATTCATGTCATCGTTATGGGTGTCTAGGTGTTCGGGGAAGGGCAGAGAACCCCAAAAGAAAAGCGGTGATTGGCGGGTTTCAGGGGTTGATGTCAAGAACGGTGCTCGGCAGATCGGGCACTCTTCTGGGGCGAGGGCGCGGGGCGAGGGATAATCCAGTGAGGCGAGGAAGTCGGTGTAGGTGGAAGGTCGTCGCCTGTATGGGAACGATTAGGGTAGTGGTTTAATGTGGCGGAGAGAGTGGTACGGAAGGATCGGGTTGATGCTGAGCGGGGTGGTGATGGGGCTGGAAACGCGAAGCGCTGGCTGGTGCTAGAAAGAGAGGATACTGAGGACATGTTGGGTGGGTTTTGCGGGTGGAGATTTGCGGTAGCGGGTGGATCAGTAGATATGGAGACCCTAGGTGGTTGTGAAAGGGGAGTGTGATGGTTGTAGTAAATGGAAGGGATGTGTTGCTCTGTATTGCTCTCTTGTACGAGTTGGATATAGGAGAGAGTGACAAGAGAATGCTTAAAGTGGCGGCGCTACATACTAGTGATTGTAAAGCGTGATGGACTTCAGTGATGCCTCAATCATACACTCGCTTGCAGAATCGGCTTCCGGTTTTTGCAACTTCGAACCCTTTCTCTCCGCACGGGCCTCGTCTTCGCTTAGCGGAAGCTTTACCTTATTCGCTCCAAATCGATCTTGAGTGCCCTAGCTCTTTCCTTGCCGCAAAGGGTTACATTTTTAATAACTTTAGCATTTGATCTACTGTTGTTACTGTATAGGGTACTTCTCTATTACTGGAAAGCTCACAAGGGTGTAGCCAGAGCGGGCCGGCCGCCCTCCCTGCTAGCGTGCCACCCAGAGCATCTTGAATGCTGGCCGATCTGCTGACGTACCTGCATAGGTATATTGGGTGACATGCCTACTTTTCGCCACTAGCATTTACTAAAACTTGTCAACATCTAAGAAGGCAACACTACGCTCTTGGGTAGGTCACTAACCCAGCTAACATGATGATGAACCACGAGCGTCTCGCCTCTGCTTCATCTTGCGTCGTACAGTATAGATCCATTCATCCAGAAATATCCATAATTAACAAAGCAGGACGAACCACATTAAGATAGTAGCCGCTCCCACTAAGCTTACTATGCTAAACCAGCAAGACAGATACCAAGCCGACTCCTAATAAGCAGCCGCGAGCTGCTTAGAGGCAAGAGCAACTCGCATTAAATTTAAATTTATTAAAACTATAGCGAATGCGAAGAATATAGGTATATACAGCCTCCTAAAGAAATCTCCGTATTAGCTATACACTTGTTTAAAGTGAAATTTGCTAAGGAGCAGCGGCGCATAAAAGTTAAGTTAAGTTAGTCTTAGCTCGCTGTAGCAGTACCTCCTTAATACTGCCGCATCCTTAATATGGTTAAGTTCTAAGATAAATAGGCAGAATAATGCCTAATCCACGTCCCTAGGGATAAGGCGGAGGCTATCTTGCTAAGCGATGTTAAAGTCTAATTCGTACTAGATTAAGAAGTGGTACATTCGCAAGAATCTCGTCGTAGCCTTACAAATATTCGTTAGATTTCTGCCTAGTTAGTCTAAACTCTTATTTAAGAACACTTCCTAGAAAGTCTGCGATAGCAAATATCGCGGAAGAGGTTTAACGAAAATGCGGTCGTGTATCCACACTAAATGTAGTTAAGGCTCTTCTGTAACGATAAAATCATGACCTTTTACCCGTTATTAATGTAACAGGTTAATGTTTGTGCTTAACAGGGTCGTTATAATCTAGAGTCGCGGCGCTAATATCTCTAGGTTATTAAAGCAGAGCTCCTTTTAAGGAATTGTCTTATGCGAGGAGCGTCGTTAAGCATGATAGAAGGCTGGCCGGGCAAAGTCGTAATCGGTGGAGCTCCAGTTCCAGGATCGAGATCGCGAACGAGCTGGTTCGCTTTGGAAAATGGTGGCATGACTGCGCGGAAGAGTAATATTGGGATAAGTTGGCTCTGTGTGCGAAATAATTCTGGAAGTGCATATATCTCTACAGCAAGCAGGCAGCTAGCGAAGGATGTCGTGCCTCAGCCCAGCCTAGCTCAGCCTGGTGTATAATTAGCCTAGGGTATATCTACATATCTCCTTACTCTAATCCTTCTGCCTTATCGGAATGTTTTCTCTCCCAGCTTGAGCAGGCGCCCTGTGTGCGAATATTGACGTTCATCCATGGTATGAAATGGATTTGGGATGAGGCGCGCCAAGGCTGATCAGGAACTAGGTTCGGCCAGTGACGGACGACGACATCGGGTTGAAAGTGCTTCGCGAGGCATCAGCAGAAGCAGCCGAGATCATCGAGTGCATCTACCTTTATAGTACCTCGATCGTCTAAATCTATACTGAGCTATCCTAGTATCGTCGCAATCCACGGCATTGGGGCCCATCCAGACGACACCTGGTGCAAGAATGTCGGCACGGCGGAGAGCCCGCAGTGGGTCAACTGGCTCGATAAGCAAGACATGCTACCAGCCGTAGCACCCCATGCACGCATCATGCGATATGGATACCAGTCGCAGTGGTTTGGGGAAGAGGCGACTCGGCAGAAGGCGTCGACAGTGGCCCAGCGGTTGCTGGGGGCTTTGCACCGGAATAGAAAGGTGCTGAACCTCTTAGAGATATGTTGCACTGTCGCTGATTCAGCTAGGAGTACCCATTTCGCCCGCTGATCTTTATAGCGCACTGCTTTGGTGGACTGGTCGTGCTGAAAGTCTGTATGCAAGCTCCACCCAGACGCGCCTACCACTAAGGCTTCCTAGGCGCTACTAGATGCCCGGTACGACAAAGACTATTGGCCCGGTATCTTCGATTCTACAGCGGGGTTGTTGTTTTTCGGGACGCCGTTTCGAGGGGCGGAAGGAATGAGCCAGATGGAAATGCTGGAGGCGGCACCGCGGGAATACCACGAGGACGAGGTGCAGACAGACGTTCTAAAGATACTAGACCCGGGGAACGAGTTCCTTCAGGAAGTAGTCGACCAGTTTGGCAAGATGCGGAGGCAGGGGAACAGGGCCGAGGTTGCGTGCTTCTACGAGCTGAAGTCTAGCAACGTAGGAAAGATTGTAGGGAAGCAGGACCGGACGGTAGGTTTAGAAACAGCTCTGTGTCTTGCTAATGCTGACTGCTGTGCTAGAGATTTGTAGTAAGCGAGAGCTCTGGCTGCCTTAACCTGTCTGATAGGACAAGCAAGTTCTCGCTCTCCCGGACGCACTTCGACATGAACAAGTTTAGGAAGCCGACGGAGGAAGACTTCGAGACAGTGAGGGATGTAGTCGAGAAGATGATCGGGGTATCTCCTAGGCTCGTGTTGGCTCGCTCTTAATGTAACTATGTTTCATCCTAGGTACGAAATTAATAGTAACGACCTCACAGCATCGGCACCACTTTTAGAACGGAATATCGGTATGTAAACTATAGGCAATCCCTTAATAGGCTACTAATCTAGCACAGATTGTCTACGATCACTCTCGTTTCTAGAGCAAGAGCAGAGATACAAACGCATTAAAACCGCAAAAGACACTTGTTAGTGGCTTCTTAAGGACCCTGCATATTAAGCTTGGGTAAAAAAGTCTTAAGGACTTTTCTGGATTAAGAGGAATCCCGGCGCTGGCAAGTCTGTGCTTATAAAATTCGCCGTTACAGAGATGCATCGAAGACAGTCCAGAGAGCGCGTTCTATCCTTCTTTATCCACGGCCAAGGAACGAATCTGCAAAAGACACCGTTGGGTATATACCGTGCATTATTAAACTCCATGCTTAAATACTTCCTAAATTACCTCTTTCAGCTTATTAGGATGTTTAAAGACCAGGAGGAACGGCTTGGTGCTTACATGGCCAAGAGATAGGAGTGGACTAACAAAGAACTTTAAGTCTTTTTATCCGTCGTCCTAACGACGGGGTTAAAGGATTAGCCTATTGTTATCTTTATTAACGCACTTATTAAGTGTGGGGAAGAAGCCGCTAAAAGCTTGCTAACGTACTTTAAAGACCTTATAGAAGACGTTAAGAGCGAAGAATCCTAAGTTAAGATATGCGTTTCTTCTAGACACTACCCTATTCTTAATGTTAACACCACCCTAATAATCACTGTTAAGAATCGAAATCGCGAGGACATCCGATCAGTAATCTAGAAACGGCTGAAAGGTATTAAGCTGGAATAGAAGCGCAATAACATCTAGGAAGCTATCTTATCCAAAGCTTAAGGAGGATTTTAATAGGCGGTGCTAGTTACTGCTTTAGTAATTAATAGGAATGCTACCAGAAAGAGGGTAGAGAAGCTGCATAAAATAATCACATCCATGCCGCAAGCGCTTAACAATCTATACGCTAACATTCTAAGCGGGTTCACTAAAGCGGAGAAAGACTAGATAGTTAAGCTCTTTTAAGGGGTTCTTTTCACTAAGCAGCCCTTATTAAGGCAGAAGCTTTAAGAGGCTCTTGCTACTAATAAGGACATAACTCTTACAACTGTTTTTAAAGTTTGGTGTTATAAGAGTTAGACTAAGACCTTATTTTAGTTTAAAAGGCATATTAAGCATATCTTAAAAGGTCTAGTAGAATTTCAGACGCGTAATATCTACAAATACGAGCCAGGTGGAGAAGAGTCAGACTGGGAGGCACAGTTCATCTATTAATTAGTTGCCGACTATCTACTAGCAAGATTTCTTAAGACCGGCAAGCGTTATTAGAATGTCACTCTATCCTGCATTGGTGCTGGCCACTTTAAGATATCAAGGTCATATCTCAGATATTTGGCATTAAAGGAAGTATTAGAAGCAGTCCGGCTGCCTCGTGGTTCTCTCTCAGCAAGATTTCCCTTAGTACCATATGCAACGAGGTTTGTGTTCGAACATGTCCGGAAGGTGGAGCAAGAAGGAATACCGCAGCCTACGGGGCGGTAGTCAAGCTGCTGCTTGAGACCGGCAAGGTCGACGTTGACTCCAAGGATCAGTACGGACGGACGCCGCTATGGTGGGCAGCCAAGAACGGACACGAGGCGGTAGTCAAGCTGCTGCTCGAGATCGGCAAGGTCGACGTTGACTCCAAGGATCTGGACGGACGGACTCCGCTATGGTGGGCAGCCCAGAATGGACACGAGGAGGTAGTCAAGCTGCTGCTCGAGACCGGCAAGGTCGACGTTGATTCAAGGATCTGTACGGACGGACGCCGCTATGGTGGGCAGCCCATAATGGACACGAGGCGGTAGTCAAGCTGCTGCTCGAGACCGGCAAGGTCGACGTTGCTCCAAGGATCAGTACGGACGGACGCCGCTATCGTGGGTAGCCCAGAATGGACACATGGTGGTGGTCAAGCTATTGTGATTGCAGGGCATTTTTCTTTAATAACCTATATTTCCACCTATTCTTTTTCCTGCTTTGGCCAGTACGGAACAGGTGAAGTTGTGTAAGAATTTCTTACTAGTGCCTTAGCGGTGCACAGTGACTACCCCCTAGATATCGCCGCCTTAGGGGAGGGTCCCTGAGCCACTCCGACTGCTAGGCGTGGAACCTTGTTTTCTGTCTATTAAATAGAAAAAGGAATAAGAATTAACACCTGTGGTTAGCATTATGACTAATAGGAGAAGATATGTTAGTAGCGAAACTAGTAGGATGTCACTTAAGGTACGTCTACATGTACGTCAGCAGCCAGCCAATAGAGAGCGTACTATAGGTGATAAACTAGCAAGGAGGACGGTCGATCTGCTCTGGCTACACCTTTGTGAGCTTTCTTTTGAGCATGGTGTTAGATACGCGATCAGCAGGTCTCATGGTTGGCTTCTGAACTGGAGCAGACGCTTGATAACAGAATGTACATAGCTGGCGCATCGTAACGACCCATACCCTTAGGGTGCATGGCCAGAATAGAACACACACACACACAAACACACACACACACACACACACACACACGTGAGCTTTCTTGGGAAAACTTTCATTAGATTGTTGAAAGAGAATATTCATCTCGGACATTCTTTTACTCGATTCCCCGTCGTTCGCTTAGCTAGTTCCTGCTGCAAGGAGGCCCCTGCGGCTTGGCGAACACCGTGCCGGAGCCCCCATGGATCTATTAACCCCTGAACGCGGACCATCAACACCACCTCCGGCCCCGCCCAGAGAACGCACGAGGAAGCCGAGCGCGAAGGTACTCGAGGCTCAGCAGACACTGCAAACTCGGACAACGGCACTACGGACCGTAGAGACCCGAACTGGAGCCACCAGATCGCCAACGTCGCAGAACGAAGGAAACCCTAACGAGCAGAATGAGCTGCCACCGTGTCCCATCAGACGCGAATCCGTCTCATCTGAGCGGACAGGAAGGACGAGCGGGCTAGACGATGTATCAGAGCTTATTGCAAGCCTGGAGGAGATTATCGTACAGCAGAATAGCACGATTGAGAACGTTCGAAGCGACCTTGCGGCGATCAAAGCGGAACAGCAGTATCTTAAGAACTAAAACGCCGAACTTCAGGAAACCATCGGATCTCTACGGGCACAACTAGATACCCTCTCCGTGTCTCCCCCGTCTACCCAGAGATGGGCATCGGTTGCAGCGAGTAGCGGCCCGAGAGGGTCAGGTACGACGCTATCGCGAACAAGGAGCACGAGGACAACAGAAAAAGAGCAGAATCAGCAGCTGGTGATCGATGTTAGCCAGGTAAGAGAAGGAATGGTAGAGAAGGTGGCCAACACGGAAGCAGCAAAGCAGACTATCCAGCAGGGCATAAGCAGCGTTGAGAGGCTCGCTGGGGCGACGATCAAGGACTTCCGCGTGTGGCGCGCGAACGACAGCGCGAATGTGATCAAGTTCTCGGTGGACAAGGACAAAGAGGCGGCGTTCCGGCAGACGACAGCGGAATGGCTCGAACCGCACATACCAGGTGCAAGGCTGGTCGGGCCTAAGTGGTATGCGGTCAAGGCGGACTGGATCGAGGTGGCGCTGGCGATGGATGCGGAGAGCAGGAAGGTGGGCAGGTCGGCCATGGAGCGGTTTGGGACGGAAAACGGAGTGGAAGTGTGCACGATGAGGTGGCTCGGACGACCGAGACCTAGCGGACAGCATGCGTCGGTGGTGATCGAGGTGGCTCGGACGACCGAGACCTAGCGGACAGCATGCGTCGGTGGTGATCAAGGTGGCGACGAAAGAGGACGCGGAGAAGCTGCTAAGGTCTGCCGGTGTGACGTTTGGCGGAGGGGGGATTATAGTGTCGCCATTTGAGGAGCGACGCAAACCTGTGGCGTGCTTCAAGTGCAGGAGGTTCGGGCACAGAGCGAGAGACTGCATGCGGCCGGAGACGTGCGACATGTGTGCGCAGGAGGGCCATCTACAATGCGAAATAGTCAACCTGCGCTGCGTGAACTGCCAGGGCCCACATCGAGCGTCCCACCGAGAGTGCCCGGAGTATAGGAAAGAGAAGGTCAGGATCCTCATACATCATCGCCATGAATAGCGAACTCCGGATCCTCCAGGCGAATATGAAGAGAGACAGGGAAGCGCAACACGCAATCCACAACGATCCAGCACTTGTAGACTTCCATTTCATTCTAGGCCAGGAGCCTGGGTGCTTCCTCGCGGACGGAGAGGTAGTGCTGCACGGCACGAACCCGCGCTGGGCGGAATTTGTACCATCTGGCAGGCGACAAGGTTCCTACCTGTTAGATCGTGCATCTGGGCGTCCAAGGACGTGGCGGCTACACAGGTATAGGTAGACTTGGCAGACATCACAGCAGTGGTGGCGCATGTAGGCGGAAGGAAGCTTGTTATCGTATTAGTGTACATTCCAGACCTATGCTCGAGGAGGACGAAGGAAGAGAATCTGGAGGTACTCACCAGCAGGCTGGACATGATCAAGGAATTAGCGCAGCGGGAGCAGATACGCGACCCACACACGGAGGTGTGGTTGCTGGCAACTTCAATCGACGCAATCCACTTTGGGGAGGGAGCCGCATCAGCAACGCACCAAGGCAGGAAGAGAGTGCGCCGATCATCGACTTCATGGCGGAGCTGTCACTTCAGAATCTCCTTCCTGCGGGAGTGATAACGTTCGTGAGCGACGCGGGGCGTAGGTCCATAATCGACCTGATGCTCGCGACGCCTGGGCCAGCGAGCGATCTGGCCAAGTGCTCGGTCTGGGAACACGAGTATGGGTCGGACCACCAGGCAATCCAGACCATCTTCTGTATCGACATGGACAGGCAGGAGACCCGGGAAAGACTGCTGTTCAAGAATGCGCCGTGGGACAAGATCGGGAAAGCTTTCGAGCGGCAGGAGGAGGGATTCCCCAGCGAGGACGTGGAAGAGATGACAAGCCGGCTCACGAAGTGGGTCCACTCGGCGCTAGAGGCGCACTGCCCACGGGCAAAGCCGTCACCCTACATGAAGAGGTGGTGGGATGAGGACCTTACGGCGCTGAGGAAGTCGTACACGCACCGGAGGAACCGGGCGTGCGCGATGGGGCGGCAGGAAAGAGAGGACGCAGAGCTGCGCAACACGGCGACGCGGGCGAAAAGGCTCTTCCACCATACAATCAGGCGACACAGGAAGCTGCACTCGGACGCGTTCCTCGACGACAGCGACAATGTGTGGAAGGCGAATAACGAGATTGGGAAAGAACTGCTCCAGGCATTCTTCCCAACTCCGCCGCCATGCGAACAGGAGGGGGTTCCAACGGTATACAACCAGCTGCACTGCGAGCCGATTCCCAAACATGAGGTTAAAGCCGCAGTCTTCAGGGCAAGCCCAGATAAGGCACCTGGCAGAGATGGAGTGCCAGCACGTGTATGGAGGGAGCTGTGGCCTGTGCTAAGCGACGAGGTCACGCTGCTCTTCGCCTGGTTACTAGAGACGGGAAAGGTGCTAAAGGAGTGGAAGATTATAAAGATCGTGCCGCTGCAGAAACCAAAGCGAAAGGACTACACGATAGCAAACAACTACCGGCCAATCTTGCTCCTCCTAATGCTGGGTAAGGCGCTGAAGTCGCTAGTGGCTAAGCGGATCGCATACCTGGTAGAAGTGTAAATCTCTTGCCTAAGACGCACTTCGGAGCTCGAAAGCAGAGGTCGACAACGCATGCGATATTAAACCTCTGTAAGGACGTATTTAAGGCGTGGAGGGGTAGGAAGATGCTGTCGTTACTATTGTTTAATATTAAGAGTGCCTATAATAATGTAGCCACAGAGCCAGAAATCAGGAGACTGCGACAGCGATAGATACCCGAGACGATCATACGGTAGGTGCAAGACTTTTGCTTAAACTAGCAGGCCTGCATCCTTATTAACGGCGTTATAATAGATATACAGGCGCTTCCGCAAGCAAGCCTTCCGTGGGGATTAGCGCTTACTCCAATTTTCTTTCTATTCTTTAACGCAGACCTGGTACAGAGCGCACCGAAACATAGAAGCTTAATAGCGTTTGTTAACGACTACTCAGCATGAGTTATAGGGCCTGCCGCAGAGGAGAACACGCGAGTCCTCTAGGACGAAGTAGTTCTAATGCTAGAGAAGTAAGAGCGGACCAGCGGAGCGCAGTTTAAAGCGGCAAAGACGTCCTTTATCCACCTTACGCGTTACAAAGTAGCGGGCAGAGACAGCACGACGCCGCTCTAGTTTAAGGGGCAGGAGATCTTGCCTACGGATAAGGTCAAGATCCTTAGTGTAACGCTTAATAAGGAGGTGCGGTTTAAGACGCACCTAGCAGACAAAGCTAGAAAAGCTACCAAGGTGGCGCTAGCACTACGCAGAGTAAAGGAACTGCGGCCTAAGGCGGTTAAGCAACTAGTACAGAGCGCGGTACTGCCGGTGGCGGACTACGCGTTGCTAGTATAGTACCTAATCGCAACGCACAACATAAACCAGCTACTCCTAGAGTCGCAACGGATCGCGGCATAGGCTATAATAAGGGGGTTTCGCACTGTCGCGCTGTCAGTAGCAGAGGGCGGAGGCACGCCTACTCCTAATAGAACAGAGGCTACGAAGCCAGGCTATAGCGTTCTAGGTGTCAATCCACAAACTAAGCCAGTCGCACCCTTACTAGATGATTAAGCGGCAGCAACTGTGTACAAAGCACCAGTCGCCGCTTATAAGAATCGCGGAGATGTGTAAGGAGGTCCAAATAGAAGGGGTGCTCAAGGTTAAAGCGTACGCATGCCCGCCGTGGGTAGCCAGGCCCGAGGTAGTAACATGCAAGAAGGAAGAACAGGCACGAGCCATCGCTGAGGATTATAGGCCAGGCCAAGTAGACATATATATAGACGCATCCGTCCGCAAGGGCAAGGCAGGCATTAGAGTATACACTACGCTGTTACAGGTACGCATTTTAAAGACAGTAGCAAGC